GAGCAGCAGGCCAGCAAGATCATCTCCCACATCGAGACTTCCCGAAGCCTCCACATCATGTGCCACATCCCAGTGTTCTGCTGGATCACTGCTACAGTTCTGGAGGATGTGTTGAAAACGGCAGAGGGAGGAGAGCTGCCCAACACCCTGACTGAGATGTACATCCACTACCTGGTGGTTCAGGCCAAAGTCAAGAAGGTCAAGTATGATGGAGGAGCTGAGACGGATCCACACTGGAGTCCAGCGAGCAGGAAAATAATTGTGTCTCTGGGAAAACTGGCTTTTGAGCAGCTGCAGAAAGGAAATCTGATCTTCTACGAGTCCGACCTGACAGAGTGTGGCATCGATATGAGAGCAGCCTCAGTGTACTCAGGAGTGTTCACACAGGTCTGTAAAGAGGAGAGAGGACTGTACCAGGACAAGGTGTTCTGCTTCGTCCACCTGACTGTTCAGGAGTTTCTGGCTGCTCTTCATGTCCATCTGACCTTCATCAATTCTGGTGTCAATTTGCTGGAAGAAGAAGAAGAAAACAACAAGTTTGAAATATCAAAAACCAAATCCAGACTCTTCTACCAGAAAGCTGTGGACAAGGCCTTGCAGAGTCCAAACGGACACCTGGACTTGTTCCTCCGCTTCCTCCTCGGCCTGTCACTACAGACCAATCAGAAACTATTGCGAGGCCTGCTGAAACAGAAAAGAAGTAGCTCAAAGACCAATCGGAAAACAGTTAAATACATCAAGAAGAAGATCAGTGAGAATGTGTCTGCAGAGAGAGACATCAATCTGTTCCACTGTCTGAATGAGATGAAGGATGTTTCTCTAGTGGAGGAGATCCAACAGTCCCTGAGATCAGGACGTCTGTCCACAGATAAACTGTCTCCTGCTCAGTGGTGGGCTCTGGGCTTCATCTTACTATCATCAGGAGAAGATCTCGATGTATTCGACCTGAAGAAATACTCTGCTTCAGAGGAGGCTCTTCTGAGGCTGCTGCCGGTGGTCAAAACCTCAAAGAAAGCCCTGTGAGTAAACCATATTTAAACACACTGCTTTCTGTTTAGTAGGAAAAAAATAAAACTAACAGATCACTTGTCTCTCTCTGTTTGTCTTTCCAGACTGAGTGGCTGTAGCCTCTCAGAGAGAAGCTGTGAAGCTCTGTCCTCAGTTCTCAGCTCTCAGTCCTCCAGTCTGACAGAACTGGACCTGAGCAACAACAACCTGCAGGATTCAGGAGTGAAGCTGCTTTCTGTGGGACTGGAGAGTCCTCACTGTAAACTGGAGAGTCTCAGGTCAGGATCAGTTGCAGTTCAGTTGAAGTGTTGTTTTCAGTAATGACCACAACACATTACAGGTATAACCTCTTTTGCTGTGCATTATTGTCAGACCAGTTTTATTACTAACCTTTAGTAGTAGTTTCTCTTCATCAGGCTTTTTTTTTTTTTTTTTTTTAATACACCTGGAACTTATAAACCTCGAACTTGTAAGAACTGGTCACATCTTGGTTTCAGGTTCTGTCTTGTTTTACGAACCACAGCGTTTCAGATAAACATTACTGAAAAGGCGACGCCAGGACAAATGTTAATTCATGTTCTGATGGTTCAAAAAGTCGACTGCTGTAAATGTTAAATAATTTTGACCCAAAAAAAGTGTGACCTGGAAATTACTTGAAGTGTTGTTAGACTTTAAACTCTCCACACTGACCAAACAGTTTCTTTTATATTGATACAAACTGCAGCATTTGTGGAGGAAGAAATGTGGAAACCAAACTAGAACCAGAGACGATGGGAACACCTCAAGTTTCAGGTTCCTGTAGTGTCTCTGCTGAAACCTGAAAATATGGCTTTTGTTACACACTGAGACATAAACCCAGAAATTTGGAGCAAATGGAAATATTAGAGCCAAAGACAGTTTCTTTGAAGTTCTGGTGCTCGTTCAGCTTTAACTTCAGCAGTTCTGTCACAGTATCTGTCATATCTGTTGTTCTGTGTGTCTGCAGGCTGTCAGGTTGTCTGGTCACAGAGGAAGGTTGTACTGCTGTGGTCTCAGCTCTGACCTCCAACCCCTCCCATCTGAAAGAACTGGACCTGAGCTACAACCATCCAGGAGACTCAGGAGAGGAGCTGCTCTCAGCTAAAGTGGAGGATCCACTCTGCAGACTGGACACTGTGAGGTATGGAGAAGACGTCTGAAAGGGGAGGAAGAGCTGGAAACATTTTCTCTGTCCTTCTGTCTGTCTTTGTGCTTCATTGTAGATATGAAGGTTGTGTAAACAGTCACACATGTTGGAGCCTTTTTCATTTGCTCACAACATGAACACTGGATGAACTTAAAGAGAAGATCATCGTTTAGGGGGGAGCAACTGCAGGAACTAAAATTACTGTCTGGTGATCAATGTTCATTAGTTTTAGTTACATGTCTGCAGGTTAAAGTTAGTCATTTGTGGAATCATCATTTTTGGCTTTGTGACCCTAAATCAGATTCATTTAGTCTCTGTGAACAGAACAAAAGACACGTTCAGCATAGCTTAGCACAAAAAAAGAAAGACGACGTGAACTGTTGGCCCAGCTAAATGAACAAGAAAAGGGAATGACAAGTAAAGTTCAGGGATGCAAATTTTGAATAGTTTTCTTCAGCAATTCTCAATAATCAAACAATAATAAATTATTCAGTGACACAAAATGAACGCGGTGGACATCAGCGGTCATGTTACATGACATGAGCTGCTCTGATGGTGTTGACTGGAACACAGTGATGCTCTCTCATCGCAGAGTTCTGAACAGTCGGCATTCAGCATCGTCATTGTTAAGCTTTACGTGTTGAAGTCCTACAAAGCTGCCGGTGGTCCAACTGACCACCTCCTCTGGTCACTAAAGTGTTAAACTAAAGTAAGAGGCTCCACCTGGTGGTGTATACAGGTATAACAGCTCATCCACAATACATATTCTGACAATAATGTCCTTCATCTTCTGCCTTATTGATTTAATGTATTTTTTCTATATCCATATTTTATCTGTTGAATTATTCACGGCAGTTAATTAACCGATACCATTAACAGTTTTCATTTAATGACCAATTCAAACTGTTGTGGAGCGTGTTGATCACCAGACTGAACTTCAGAGATGCTACATGCAAGTGTGTTTGTCGGTGCTGCTCTGATCCTCCTCCTCTTTTCAGGTTGGAGCCTGCTGGAGTCCGATGGTTGACACCAGGTCTGAGGAAGTGTAAGTGTGGTTTCAATGTGATTTGTCTTTGTAGGGGAGGAAACGCTATATCTGCCTAGTAGGGTGCTGGCTCAGGGTTAGATACAGGGTTCAGCCCAGGAGTGCAGGCCTGAGCACTTCTTACGGCCGTTCAGAGTGGTGAGTGATGTAAATAAAGACGGAGATGTCAGTTTAGTATGGTCTTCTTTTCTTACTGTACTGACAATCTTGTACAGCGTGTGTGTTGGTATGTGTGTGTGGTTTTCCTAGAACAGAAATAACATATACACTTAGTTAAACAAACACATATATAAATTAACTTAACCTGTCACCTGTAAGCTCGGTGGCTAGCTGGCAGGCAGGTAGAGACACGGCAGGCAATTAACATAAGTTAACTCCGAACTCTCATCCACACAAATACAGCACAATTCCTACAATGACTGCACTCACCTGTCATTTACACACACATATCTTTATAGTCACAGGCCTACAAGATCGCCGCTCCCTCCGACCAGCGCACACACACACTCACCCTCCTGCTCCGTGACATCACCCACCTCACAGCCACCCCATGAACTGGCCCGCCCACAAAGACAGTAATCCAATAAACGCCAATAACTTGGAAAGGAAAGGCACAACTTCTGCAACAATGCTTTACACTACAACTATTAACTTTGGGGCCTTTTCTTCAGTCTTGTCATGAGTCATCATTATTGTGTCCATATGATCAGATAATCGATCAATAACTGCAGCTATGTTGTGTTTGTTCTCTCCGTCAGATTCCTGTGAGCTCACCATCGACACAAACACAGTGAACAGAAACCTCAAACTGTCCGACAACAACAAGAAGGTGACACATGTGAAGAAGCAACAGTCGTATCCTGATCATCCTGACCGGTTCAGCTACTGGCCTCAGCTGCTGTGTGCTACTGGTCTGACTGGCCGCTGTTACTGGGAGGTGGAGTGGAGCGTAAAGGCTGATATATCAGTGAGCTACGGAAGAATCAGTAGAGGAAACCGAAATGAGTGTTTGTTTGGAAGGAATGATCGGTCCTGGAGCCTGAGCTGCTTTGACGGGTTTTACTCTGCGTGCCACAATAAGAGTGAGACAACCATCCCGTCCTCCTCGTCCTCCTCCTCGTCTGCCTCCAGCAGAGTGGCGGTGTATCTGGACCATCCTGCTGGAACTCTGTCCTTCTACACAGTCTGCTCTGACACACTGATCCACATTCACACCTTCAACACCACATTCACTGAACCTCTGTATGCTGGGTTTGGGTTTGGGTGTGTGGTCAAGTACGGTTCCTGGTTGTCTCTGTGCTGAGTTTACAATGTACATCCTCCTCCAGTCTGAGAAACAGTCTTCCAGTTGAACAGATCATTCAATGCTGACATGTTTTTCTATATCACTCAAAAACACATTCTCAAATTCATATCTTGTTAATATATATACGTCATAATTTCTTTTTTAAACTGGTTTGAATTATTCCTGTAGGATTCATCCTCCTCCAGTGCTTTAAAAACTGAAATCTCCTGAATTATTTGCCAAACACTACTGATAAAAGCTGAGGTGGGGGTGGGTTGGGGTTAGGGTCAGGAGTCAATGCTACGGGTGCCATAAAATTTCTTTCTGGTACTGCTTTTATGGATGTTTATGTTCTCCCTTGCCCCTTTTCCACCAAGAAGAACCAGGTGCTAGTTCCAGTGCTTAGTTGGTTCAAATCTGGCACCTCCTAAGAACCTGTTTGCTTTTCCATCAGCTAGGGCCAAGTGAGAGTCACGCCATACATCACTGCATACGTAGCCGCACAGAAGTCCACACAGGACTCCAGACTAACTTTTTTACCGGTGCAACCAACTTTCTCGTTTGGTCACACTTCTCACATTGTCACAGGCAAAACATATGACGTGCTCAACATTTTCTTATCGATAGACGCTACGATTCACCGATGTTCCCCGAACGCCCCACACTGCAGGCTGCAGTAGCTGCAGTTGGTGGCCGCGGTGCTCAGACAGGTGTGCGACCAAAAATGACTTTAAAAAGAGTAAACTAGGTCATTCTGATGTCAGATTTGTCCAAGATGAAACAGAGTGATTTTTTTCTCATGCAGTCTTTTCTATGAGCAAAATAAACAGCGTACACAGATGCGCTCCGTTTTTCACGAAAAGACTGAATTTGTAGGAATAAATACCGCAGTACACCGAAGTTATAAAAGTCCCATTTTCCACCACTGTGGTGCTGCTGGTGGGACACAATTGTACCAGCTTTCAGCGTGCAACAGTTTGTGCAAAACTTCCATGTGTCCCGGAACATATTCCAATACATCTGCGATCAGACCAGAGATGTCCTGGTGAAAAACAAATCACTGCTTGTGTGTCCCATTCATCCGTCTCGGTGGTCACGATAACCCCGCCCCCAGCCCCTGACGTACTGGTGCTTTGCTCTGGCCCAGTAAAGAGTTGGTGCTCGCTAAGCACCAGTTTTGAGAACCTGGAGCCGGAGCTTAGGTGGTGGAAACACAAAGAACTGGTGCTAAGTCAGGCACTGGCTCCGAACCAGCACTGGAACCAGTTTGGTGGAAAAGGGGTATATGTTGCTGTATGAAATGCAATGCATGATGTAATCACTCAGGCAGCTAGAGGTTCGTTATAGAGAGACTACATTGGGAGGCATTGAGAAAACTTTTTTGCTGCTACTACATATACATATTACCTTGCAAACGATTCAGTTGTTATCATCTCTGATTATAAAAAAGTTTAACAATACAAAACACAACTTAACATTAGTGTCACTTATAATGATCTGACTAAGATAATTTACTATTTATTTAGGCGTTTACTTGCACAAAACTTTGCCTACATTGCACTGTCACATTTGTATTCCAAAGTCTTTGTATCCTTGAAGGTACATGGTGGACCTTAACTGCACAACATATCATTCCCTCTCTCTTCTATTTTTTGTCTTTATCGTCCGTGTTTAAACTATATTTCTGGAGAAGAAAAGTGTCAGAAATCTCAAATGAAGCATGTTCATGAAAATCTGTTTCACAGTTTTTTTTACAGTGCATCAGTCCATAGTTACCAAGGTT